TCTAGACACACGTATGTGTGTCCGAGTGGAAGTAGATCAAGTCTGCAGGTCAGCGCGACTGTAAACGCTGACTGAGGTATTGGAGGCAGCTGGCGTTGAACAATGTCACCGGACAAATCAATAGAGGGCGTCGGACGGCAGAGACCGCTACAAGCGTTGTATCCAGAAAAAGTCAAGAAGACCGAAGTCGAGATCGGGCGCATTTGCCCATTGCGGCGTGAGCCTGCATCTACGCGTATCACTACGCCCTCCCCCCCTGTTCGGCATTTTTTTATGGGAGCAAGATCCGAATAACACCTACCGTACCCTGATCTGCTCTCCGTTTTGTACTGGTGCATATATAACGCGGTCCATTTAGGTGGGCAAAGAGAGATGCCAGCAACACCCGCTATTCCCAGCCGGTCATCCATGCAAGCACTAACCTGGGCCAACGTAGCTTTACTTCGGTGATCGAACGAGGACCGGTGCTTTCTACTTGTTATGGTCGCTGACCACAAAACATAATACAGTATTTGTCTTCACCAATCACGATTAGAGAAGTGTTTTAACGGGGAGATCAATCCGTAAGTAAGCCAACGTCAGTTCAAAATGCAACCGTCGACAGTATAACTATGGACTGCATGAATTTTGCTACAGATTGACGTGTCAGAATTAATTTAAGAAGTGCTTTTGCATCAGCAAATTTTGTCTGCAGTCTGGTTCCACGTATTTTCGATTGATTTTATGGATTAGACCATAGGGAATACACTCCAAATGTAAAGTATCCTTTGGTTAATTATCAAAATGAACGTTTGCTATCATGCGCAATAAGTAGCTGTAATTACATATTTAACCGTGATCAGTGGAAGCTGATTTCAAATTTATAAGCTTTTTTGGGGCCGGAAATTGATGAGCATTATTTTGCCGTTTTTCATTTTCTTTTACCACTTTCCTATTCCTCACAGAAAAAAAGTAGTTCGAATGTTTATCTTGAGGTAGTGACCGACCCAGAAACCATCAACAGAAATGCGTAGGAAGGAATCAACAGAAGACACGATTACCGACGTTAGATTAAGCTTTGGGGTTATTTGCTTTGATTGAATATCAAAAGCCTCCAAAGGCAAATATTGGTTGACAGAACATCGTCTTGCTTAAACCTAATTACCGACACCACTTAAGCGACGTGAAATTACCCTCTCTGTGTGGAAGCTTAAATATCGCCCACAGCGATTCCTCAACCTTCTGACTGAACTTTGAAGACAGACCGGCGGGAGGATGTTCAAGCTCGGGAGGTTTTACCCTTTTCCTTTCTTGTGATAGGACGAAGGAATGCCATGAACGATGATGAAACAGTAATAACTTGAATTATCAGTTGAAGTGATTGAAAATCTTAGCACATTTAATTTTGCAACAAGTAGTTAAAAAAACTCATGGAATATCCTCTTGTTAGTGGACTATTCCAATTACTTTCCTTTTTTGTGTGTTGGGTAAAGCATTTATCATCATCTTCAAACTAAAAATAATTCCGATTTACTGCAGCTTTTGAATCAGTAAAAGCACGAATACTGTAAGCGAGTCCCTTGCAATGTAAAAATGGTATTTGAGCAACCAGCCTATCATGAACGGTAGATATAATGATCAACAATGCCCTCTGGTCTCTTTTGTCGTTTAACGGGAATAATCATTCTTAGATAACTGTCCTCATTCTGAACTGCTTATCTTAACACATATGTGTTAAGATAAGCAGTTCAGCAGTTCAGACGAAAATTTGGTAGGCTTCAAATTAGGCAGTAGGAACAGATTGCACAATAGCCGAAGACACCCCAGATATATCAAAAACAAAGACATGTTTTCAGAGGTTGTGAAACCTTGGTGAAATCGCGCTAAACTGACCCAACAGGATTCAACACGTTTCAGTCAGGTTCTAAGGCAACCTTTAGGAAAATAACGGGGCTACTAAATATTCAGAAACATGGAGCGTGGCGTCGTTAGCACGTATACTAACCGCAAACTCAGGAACTTTATATTATATTCATGATCGTACTGAAGAAGTTCTCCAGGTTATTTATTCGAAGTTACACGCTAATTTATCTAGAATTTTTAACAGGTGGTGTGTGACAGCTATAGTTTTAACCTAAGTAATGAAATTTGTCTAAATTCACATAAAATAACTGACTTATCCGAAACTTGCTTGTTCGTAATCTACTTAGGACGGCTTACGCCTGAAGAAATAATCCATTTTCGAATGCGGCAAGGACTCTTTAAGTTATTTTCCTACGAAAAGCGAGCTCAATTGCGTAAAATAATTATAGACGCCTCTTCATATATTAAATTACCTGAATATAGGGTCACGCATATTTCTGCACAAAGTTGTAAACATTTTACCCGATGCAAGTACGTAGACACATAGTCTGCACGAAAACTGACATTTTCCGGATCGGCATAAGCGAATGAGTAGAAGGTGCAACATATAAGGTACTTACAAAGTATTGTATAAATGTTTCTCATTTATTTCAATGAGAAGGATCAAATACAAAAATTTTAACCGCCCTATCCGACGACGTCAACCGTGTGCCCCACGACATGATTGCGCAGGGATGCTGACTTCCGCATTAATTTTTTTTCAGCAAGAGTGGACTTGCGCCGCATCTACGGCGCTCTTTCCTCGCCCGCCACCTGGCCCCGGCATCAAGTCAAGAGAACTGAAGGCGAGAGGGAACGCAGGTGGCTGGTGTGACCAGAACCGCCCTTAGGGGTGCCGTCACAACTGATTCGGAAGGTGTTGAGTGTGTGTATCTCCTAGAGACCAAAGTAAGAAGGAGCCATTTGAGCCTAACTCTTAATCCGCCAGTCGGCCCACTGGGCTGACTGCGCGG